TGGTTCTCCTTAGCCATGAGGAAACCCAACCTCAGAATATCTTTTGTAATCTCAAGCTAAGCCAAGCAAGAGAATATGGGGTTAGCTCCAAAGCCCTAATGAACTTCTCCTTCTAGTCTTTGTTCGACTCAGGATTGTTCGAGATGACTTTGAAGCCATCCAAGTTTTAAAAATAGTAGTGACCCTCTTTCTTCCCCACCTTGATACTGAGAAGGTGGCCAAGCACGCGGAGGGTCAGCTCAACTCTAACCTAATGGAAAATCACCACGAAACCCACCAGCATGGCAATGGAGTTTGGCTTGATTTGGGAGGGCGAGACTCCCATAGCTTCGAAGATGTGGCAGAGGAAGGGGTGGAGCGACAGACGTAGATTGTACTCCAAGTGACAGAGATATACCAGAGCATTCACGCTATTGTGGTCATACCCTGCCTGAGCCCTCTCCAGCACTAACAATGTAGATCCATGGGGGATGTTGTAGCAGTCATAAAGGCTTTCAAGCTCTGGTGCACACATCTTCAAGTGAAACTTCCTTAGAAGATTGATCCACATCTTGTTGTGCGCCACGGCGAAAGCAGAAGAAGCCATTAGTCGAAAAACATTAGCGAAAGAAGATTGGAGATTGCTTAAGAGACAGAGAACAGGGATAGAGTTCTAGGGTTCAAAAATTTTGTAAATGAACCCCTCAATAGAAGTATATATAGGCTCAAAGACGGGCACGTGTCAAGATCAGAGTGATCGACTCGATTATTGACGAAAGGCTGAGATCAATCTCGAAAGTCAAAATGACCGCTCAGGGGCAGAAGTGCTGCCCTTCAGTTGACATGCCATCTATGCTAGGGAAACAAGGCGACGCTAGCACACAATCTCTAATGATGTTAGAGTATCACATCAACAACGGCCTGTCACTTTCCTCATAAATGTACTTCAGATATCTCAACTGTCAACTGTTTAATCTCACTTGGACTCGATCTATCAAGTTCGAGTGAAAGGGGCCAGTGTTATATCCTATAATTACCTTAAATGCTTATTCCCCCTGGAGTCGATACGTGTCCCATGCCAACTAATCATTAGATCACCCTAGTCAGGATGACTGGAATGACTTCAGCACTCAACCCTTCCTAGCAAGGGCCAAGTTGAAAGTCGTCCTCACTCGACTTACCTATCAAGTCGACCCCACTCCTCTTCATTCCACAAGGCCGGGTCGATAATCTTTAAGGCCAACTAAAAAAGCGGTACTTATCGACACACTCGCAAGATCGAGGTGAGAGGTATCACTTGTCAATTCTCTTAGAGAAATGAGTTGAAAGGTGGTGTATCCCCGAGCCCTCTACCGATAGTCAATTGCCATCACATTAAATGCATGATCAGAATCATTATTTCTCCAGCTCCAAAAGTCTTTATGACTCATCAGACTTTGTCAGCACTATGCATGCTCTCTCATATTGAATGCCTAGGTGACCCATCCCCATTTGTAGCCAACACCTATAAAGTAGTTGCTAATTGAGCCGCTTGTTTGGACTTGGAAAAAGTTACTTATCTATCCCTTAGATCTACTATAAAGGGAAGATGCTATCTGTTGCCTAGGGTAAGCAATCTCTTGCTAGAAAATACACTATCTTCATACTTCTTCTCCACTCAAGCTCTTTACTGATTTAATTGTCGCAGGAACCATCAGAGATCCTAACTCTGACCTCTTACATGTTGTTCATGTACAGGATGGAATTTGTTGCTCAGAGCCTAACTATCTAAAGAAGATTGAGCACCCTCACACCGCACATAATCCATATATAATTTCCTATTAGATAACTGGCATCAACAACAAATAAATGAGAGTATGCATTTATGTGTGCGTTTATGTGAGAGTATAACATGAGAGTATGCATTGACTTATAAAATACATAGAATATATTACACAAATTTACCCCATCAATTGCTATCCATTGAGATTGTAGGACAACAAAATCTATTATAGCCTAGTTATTTGTAGTATCCGCACCTATTTTGCTTTGGACTTCTTTTCCATACTTCATCCATCGTACCTCTTATGTGTCATGGACATCTAATTTGTCTCTTATAGTGAGAAGGTAATACATGCGGCCTATTATACAATGCCCAGTGACTACTATCTAGAACTGGATAGAAACATGGCTTGTACAGGTCTTTATAGTGACTTGACTGATACCATTCGGAGGAGTATGTGTAGTATAAAGTATTTGCACCCCATATTGCTTGGAAAAAACCGCTATAACATGTGACATGTTAACTTTTGCAATTGTGGTATGTTATAAGTGCATGCACATTCTGTTCCTCATAAATTAATGGTGTAAGAATGGCCGTATTTGTCTGTAGCCTGTCACTCGTTCGGAGCAAATCTAGCAATATTTGTTGATTGTTGTCTACCCTATCATCCACTTTGCTCCATCCTCACGCCGCTTGACAAAATATTGATTAAGTCTATAAAATTTCCTTACAACTAATGCCTGTATAGGCATCTCTTAAGCTCCCTTAAGCACACTGTTAAAGCTTTCAAAACAGTTAGTTGTCATAATACAAAATTGATATCCTCCATCTTTACTTAGTTCCCACTAATCGACGTATTCATTTTCCAAATTACTCTCATTTCAATCATGTGCAGCTAGAGATGTTGATTTGATTTGATCCATTATCCAATCATACACACATGTTTCTAGTGCACAACCAGCTTGCCATAGAACGTTTTGTAAATGCATCTCCCCATGCCTCTTTTTTTAGTTATCTCTAATGTGTTTTAAGCAATATCAGTGATAGTGATGAGAACCAAATATCTTATGCAATGCTTTAGGAATAACTTTCATCTTGTCGAATATGAAAGTAATTTTCCTAGGAGGTAACACACTAAGAATATATAATTAAATACAAGCAAAAAATCACTCTCGGTTTCCACTATTCTCTATCTCCACAATTGCAAAAGCCAAAAAAATAAGCCATCATCTACATCTATTCCTGTAGCAATAAGCAATACACCTTTGTGTTTAACCATATAACTGTGTGCCATCAATGCTAAGAACCAATTGAAAAAATTTAAATCCCTCGATCGAAGGACCAAATGCCCAAAATACTGAGGTGACCTGCTCAACTCCCAGATGAACCACTTTAGTTATATGTTTGTATTCAATTCCAATATTGCTTCTTTTGATCTCGCCAAGATATTAAGGAAGTGTCGTATAAGACTTCTCTCAATCACCAAAGATCCTTTTCACCACGTTTCTCCATGCATTCCATGCTTTGCTACATGATATTCTAATGAACTTATTATCTAGCACTCTACTAGATTTAGATCAAGATTCTTCCATAACTTTGGTGTAGTCAACCAGACTATGTAAGAGGCAGATGCACCGTATGATCCAACTCCAAGATCGGATTGCTACATGTGTGGCCCTAGAGTATTTTGTGATTTTAAAATGCCCACTATATTTTTTTGGCAAATGAATATGACTTTCAAGGACATTATAATCAACTACATTACTAATCAGTTGACCTTTTCATTCTGTATTCATAAAACATATTGCATCGAAACTTGTTCGATTGCTTTTGACCTACTTGAATTTGATGTTAGAATTGATAGAATAATCACGAATAGCATTAACCAACTGCTACTTGGTCTCAAATAAATCTCCAACTTTAAAAATGAAGTCCTCATCTTTTCTACAATTTAAACTTTGGTCGATGCCAACATTTTCTACCGTGAAAGAACGAACCCACTCATCATCCTTAAACTCGTTGGGAGGTTGCTCTTCATACTTAACATATCCATTGTTAACATAAGTCTCGTCAGGCCATCTCGGGTTCTTTTCAACAACTTCGATTGCAAAACTGCATACTATTAATTAGTGCACAATCTTGTTTTTCACCATGGAAGTTGTCGCTTCATTCATCCTCATTAATTGATGCCCCTCCTAACAGTCTCATATTTTGATAGGGCGCTTCATTGTTCACGGCACTTGACATTCCCCCAAATGAGGTCCACTTAGGTATTCAAATTGAGTTTGCTCTATTTCACTCGGAGATGAAAGAAAACTATTAGGGTCAATTCCTAAGTCTAACATGCATGAGAACTATCTCAGAGGTTTAATATTTGGCTTGTACTAAATGGAAACTTTTCTACAAGTAATTCTACAATTGGTTGCGTCTTGCTCAAATTAAATATAATACTCATATGATGATCATTTGAGATCTCAACTGCGAACGTTGTGTCAAAAGTTATGGGCCAGCAGTATATTACTTTCAGTCAGTATTCATCTAGATCAATTTCAATATCTTGGTGTAATTCTTTAATCAAGCCATCAAAACTACATGAATCCGAGATCATTAACAGTGTCGTTACCCCTCTAACGTATATAGGAATATTATTCATTTCATAATTAATTTTCCCACCATAAGAACAAGCAATAAAATCTATATTGTTCAACCTTCGAAAAAATTAGACTATATCATTTTCAAACAATCTCATAATCCATATACACAAGGCAATTTAAAAAAAAAGCCCTATAACTCTATAAAAATATCTGGCCGCCCTGCTGACATGACAGAAACTGAGTCAATTTTTATAAAAATATTTGTACAAGGTTGACATTGGGAAATTAAATTTTAAATGAATCTATTTTACAATTTTCATATTAGAATGACACGGATAAAATGTTAATATCCACGTGTAGCTGCTTTATAAGCCCACGTGACAGACCCTTTCGTTTCCACTGGCGCGTATAAAGCATGCGGCATCCTAGGACCCGTTCGTACCTATAATTAATAACAGCCACGTGCTTGTCTCTTTACTACCCGGTTAAAATGTCAACTCCATTCACCCGTCAACATGCGTCCCAGATCCGGTGCGCGGTTCAACTACCCGCTTTTACAAGAACAGCAACTCCCCTAGTTCGGTTCCACTGCCACGTTAGAGCGTATGATTTGCTAGAACCACTGTTTGATGTTCTCCATTATTGCATAGGATCGCCAATGAATTTAGGACTTCATTTCGATGAAATTCCATCAGCATTTGCGGTCTATAAATAGACGGCCTCCTCGTCGGCCTCGGTTTCGTTTTGCTTCGCACGCGGCGGCAACAAGGTTAAGAGAGAGAGAGAGAGAGAGAGGAATTTTTCTTTTTCTTTTTTCTTGAAAATATTATTATATATAGAAAAGGGGAGGAATTGGATCTCTCTCCTCTACTTCGACTTCGATCGTTCTGTGATGTAAGTCTTCTTCCCTTTCTCTTTTTTTTGCTTTCAAGAACTTGATTAGGGTTAGGGTTAGGTTTAGGTTTAGGGTTTAATTTGGTATCATTTCAAAATTATAATTTATTTATGGGTTTTCTTTCTTTCTTTTCCTTTTATTACCCATTTTTGGGGTAAAATTAGTTTGTCCTTGTCTGCTGTTACCTTATGCACTTTCCCTTTTAGTGATTGGTTAACCTAATTTTCTTTATTTTGTCGTTTGATTTGTAATTTTTTTAAAAAAATTTGCAAATCTATGGTTATTGCTGTTCTCTGATAGTATTAAAATTGACCTCGTAAATGGGTGGACCTGCTTACTATGTTCCAACGTGAGAGGGGGTGTTTTGGTCCAGGTCTGGTCTTACTTGGGACATATTTTTGAATTTCATAAATTGCAAAATATTTTGGTCTGGGCTAATTTTGTTTCTTATCTAGTTACCTTTATGTATCAATTAGTTGCCTTGTCTTGTAACAATTAGTAGTATATTTGAGGGGGAACATGTAAATGTTTGTTCTCATTGCAGGATGCAGAAAATAGGAGTGTAGATGAATATACAAATTATTCAACTCCGCTTCATGTTCGCATCTAATTAGGTCGATGTGATACAAATATCATAAATTATTATCCACTTGTGTAAAGTATTTATCGTAAGTTATTTGCCAAATCAAATTGGAATATAGCAGATTTAGACTATAGAGCAAGGAAGATTCCCAACAGAGAAAGTAATTGTTTCTAATTAGATTTTTGGACTTTCAATTAATCCAGTGTCTTCCCATATCATTTGTATTTGTATAGAATCATTCGAGTTCACATGAGATTGATGTCCCCATCATTGAGCTAAATCAAGAAAGTAGATTTAGTTCACTGAAGTGCCAATTTCACAAAATTAAGAAAGTTGAAAAATAAAGATGGGCAACTGATCGGAGCATGGAGCAAACCTCTGTATGGTCTTCTCATTTGTCTATTCTTCCTTCAACTGCAGAACTGGGGTTTTCTGTTTGGTGATCATAACTGCAAGGGACGGACAAAATTTATCATCAACAATGGAGGTATATGGCAGTTCCATGGTTGTCGAGCACAGCAATGTGATTTTTTTGTCCACTATTCTGAACAGGGATGGACCAATCCCTATTCACAAATGTGACAGTAAATGCCAAAATGAACACATTTTTGGGAATATGTATCACTGCAAACTAACAGGAATCACACATATCTGTGATAAAAACTGTACCCAGAGAATTTTGTATGATAACCATAGCTCACTTTGCAGAGTTAGTGGCCAGATTTTCCCTCTCTCGCCAGTTGAAGAGCAGGCGGTGAGAGGACTTCGAAGGAAGCTTGAAATAGCGAGTACTGATGGCTGCGCTCGTAAGCGTAGGCGGGATGCTCAACTGCATCCCTCTCCTTTTGAGAGGTCTTTTTCTGCAGTCTCTCCAATCTGCAGCCAAGTTGGAGATGGCATGAACATGAACTAGTACCCATTAATCCCATCACTTTCGTATTCCCAATTTAACTGTTTTCCTCTTTTTGTTCTCTTTCATGAAAAAATGGAATGAAGTACTTTGTTGAGACTTAAGTAAGTTGAGCATGCTCCAAAGATGTAGGTTGTCTTTGACAACTTTTATTTTAGCATATTTATGGGACAAATATTTATGTAATATCTGACTTATATAGACTTCTGCGACATTAGTGAACTTATGGTGTCAAAATCCTATTTGCATAATCGTCAGCTTTTCTGTCAATTTAGCTGCTTATTTAATCATTACTTCCTAGCTTATAAGCTATACCAATCAAAGTTTCTGTCATTGGTCAAGGCTGTACCATTATTGTTGTTATGATGCCATCGTATATTTGAGATTGTTAATTGTATTCACTTATCTATCTAGTTTCATGCCTCTGCTGCATTTTGATTTGTTAGATGTTTGCATCTTGTTATATTGTTAGGAGCAATAACATTGAACGGATTAGCTAATGTTCATTGTGTATTTCCTTAGTTGTGAGCTTTCTCAATTCTATCACAGCAATGTTTATATAATATTTGTGCAAGAAGACCAAATGCTGCCAGTGCAGGCTTTGATTGTTTAATGAAAGATAATGTTTTTTCTACTGTTGCAATTTTTCATGTCATTTTTTATTAATTCAAGGCTGATGGAGGCATATTTTATATTGTTCTTTTATGTTATTTTTTATGTTAATTTCTTATAATTAAATCTTTAAGTTCTTTTGCAGGCATATCAGAGGTTTGGCAACTCAGACTACTTATGAGTACTATTTTAGCAATTTTTCGCTACAACTTCAAGGAATGTAATGCTTTGAAATTGTTTTTCTTGTAGGTGTGTGAAATAATCTCCAAGTGAATCCCAGTTTCACAATTTATAGCGTGAGTACTCAGAAAGAGAACAGATTGCAACATTGGCATAGTTTTGCAACATTAATTTATGGATGAACATCTGAACGGGAGCCTTTCTTGGCCTCTCATTATGCTATAATGCATGAACATCTGAAGCCTATCAGTTTAATTTCTACTGGAACAGTTTTCAATCAAGCAATGGAGTCTGCTACAAAATAGTCCACATGTTTCAGTAGAGTTGAGAAGTAACGCCAATCATGCAGCTTCTCTAGTTGCAAAGAGTTTTCTCTTCTCTGTAACCTTTTTTAGCATTGGAAATTTTGAATCTGTACCTTCCACTTCTCCTACAGGTGCTTGACATCATATAATAAATTTATGGATTATTCTTCACGCAAAAACGCTCAAAATCATGATCTTCTATTATATGAAAGGCTTTACAGTTTCTTATATAGAATTTTACTAGCAACTCCTGCTAGAGACCCAAAGCTTCATTTCGTTATCAAAACTGTTTCTTCATGTGATTCACTGAGTTGTGTTTATGTGCTGTCAATTCGTTAACATATTCCATATGTATTACTTTGCTTTCCTACTTTAAATTATATGTATGTTTGGTTCCAACTATTATTTGCTAATTCATCTCTGTGGAGTATTGTAGTTTCCGTCATACTGCACCTGATGTTTTACAGAATAGAAGTTAGTTCTCTATGACTTTCCAATTTTCATTTGCAGTTTTTTTACCCAGACAAGAAAACCGATCTGTTGCAGCTTTAACTAGAGAAATTATTTAACTATCTTATCCTTCTGCTTCTCTCGTGGAATAAGTTAGCTGCTAGGTGAGATTTTCAAATGAGCCATGTTAGGAAGATACATGTTTTCCTCATATATGGATGATATTTATTGAATAAATAACATGTTATATTCATTAAACTTCTGATATCAAAGTGCAGTTTGATATTCTATTTCTGTTTGCTATCAATTGGGTTATGCATTCTACAGTTCATTATTCCTTGCTTATCTTTAATTTAGAAATGCATTCCAAGTCTGTTTTTTGGGATAATATTCTCTGACTTGTTTATTGGAAGCTTAGTTAAATTGTATTATACTATTTGTGCAACTTGTTGATTGTCTTTTGACTGCTTGTTTGTTGATACACATCACATTGCTAAACTCTGTTTGGAGGCAGAAAACTTTCAAGCTTCATTGGTGCATATGCTATTAATTCTTCTTAAGGTGAAATCCTCCATTTTATTCCTCACAAATGTGCACGTGTATATAAACAAACGAGAATATGGAATAGTGGAGTTCTCATGGCCCCACGGGCTGCTAGTTTTATTGCAAAGTTTTTTATTTCTATTGTCTAGTTATTAATTGACTATCAGTGAAACAATATTTGCATCTTGTTTAATTATGCTTTTCTGTATTGTTAGTCTCATCCTGACTTCCTTGAATCTTGGTGTTCAATGTGGTAGGATTTTTTTTGTTTGACCTGAACGATCCTATCTCAGGTTATTTATTTATTTATTTAGCAAACATTTATGGTTTAAATTTGGGATGTCTTGTTGATTCCTTAGTGAGAGTCTGAGACTAAAAGTCGGTCATCACCTTAGGACATTTAACTTTTTATTTTCTTGCTTAGCTTTCTGTCGAACCCAATAGTAGCAAGTGTTTAATAGTATGCCACAAATCAGGTAACTTGGTCAAAGTAAGAAATATCATATTGTTCTTATTTTGTGCTTTATCATTTTTTGTTCCTGACTTACACAACCTAGCTTCTTTTATTTCTCTTATCATTTGCTTTAAGATATTAGCTTAGCATACACCCTGATAAAGGAATTGTTTTTATTCATCATTTGCTTTAAGATATTAAGTTAGCATGCACTTTGTTAAAAGTTTTTTTTAATTCAACATTTTTATCTGCATAGGTTGGCATCTTCTCGCTATATTATATTAAATTTTAGTTCCTTAGCATGAAAGTTTGATTCTTTGCAACTTGCGACAGTGGGAAAATGAAGGTGATGATGAATGGAAGGTCTACAGTAGTATACAATAGAGAGATGCTGATCTTCCATCTGAATTGTTGAGAACTTGAAATGTTTTTTTTTCTTCAGGCAATAAGTGAGTTTTGTTTTTAAGTTTTTTAAGCTGAAAGAGCTTTCTTTCATTTCTATTTATGTACTTCTTTGATCTATTATAGTATGTTCTGCTCAGATAAAGTATATCATGACTTTAGCTTGAGGTCTATCTACATTGTTGAAAGAAGGTTGTATTAGATGGATCAAAAATCATTCCTGTGCTTCATGCTACCTAGCAGACTATTAAATGTTTTGTTTTTTTATTTCAATAATGCTCAGTTGCACAGTTTAAAATTACTGGCTACTATTTAAAAGTTGCTTATGTTGATAGGTTTTGTTTGAATTCTTAAGGATGCAGGTTATTGGTTTATTTATTTATTAATATTTTTCTTATGAATGTGTTTTACTTTTTCAGTATAATCTTTGGAATGAGGTGACATCTATAATTTGGTTTTAAAATTTTGTTTAAATACTAATTTCGTATGGAGACAACTATGACCACAAATGTGATCATTGTTTCAGCGAGCTCATCTTGGATGCCACAAATTTTAGTTATTTGTTGCATAAAAAAGAAAAGTTTTTTCTCTAAACCCTATGCCCCACCAGTGACAACTTTAACAATTTACTAAATGTTGACATCACTAAAATTTTGAATTTTTTTTCAATTAGTTTTTCAGAATTTCTTAGAAGCTAATAGTATGGATCACTTAGCTCTATTTTTTTTAGTTTTATCGCTATTTCTACCACTAAACTATTATTCAAGCTAATAGTTCTGTGCAATTTATTTTCTCTCTCTCCTTCCCAGCTCCTATATTTTTAGTTCTCATAGAAATTAAGGATCTTTAAATGAAAGCTTTATGTTCAAGCCTTTTTGTGCATTCTTTTGATAATGATCTTAAATTAATCTGTCAAAACTGCAAATTAGATTCATTCATCTTTCTCATTTGCTTCCAAGAATCTGATTAGGGTTAGGGATTGATTTGATATTAGTTCAAATTTCAGTATAATATTGGATTTTTGTTTATTTGTCCTGTTTGGGGTAAATTGTTTGTCTTTGTCTGCGGGTGCTTTGTGCACTTCCCCTTTTGATTGGATATATCCATATATTTATTATCTTTATTTGCAAATTTCATTTTAAGAATGTGATGGGAACAAGAATTGGAAATCTTCCATATTAGCTTAGTTTTAATTTTTTGAAATTTGAATTTTAAAATTTGAATTGTTGTTTAATTTAGTAGTTATTCAGTTTTGGCAAGAGAGTGATTTGAGGGATCTGATTGATTTAAGAGATTTCAAATTTTGTAATTTCTCTATAAAATCATGGTTGTAATCAAAATTGAGGGATTGAAGAAAAATGAATAAAAATTATTTGCTTAATTGAGGTGTGAAACCAAAGGGTGTGAAACCCTAGGTTAACTTTTGTTTCCTCTGTTCATTGTTCTCAGACCCTCCGTTCTTTTCCCCTTCCACAAACAACGACAGGCTCCAAACCCATCTCCCCTTTGATCAAATTAACAGTGCCGCCCCTTCATTTTTTTTTACTTCCCACGTAAAATAACACAGCTGCTCCGCTAAACACTGTTCATCATCTTCAACCTCCGTCCCATCTTCCGTTCGTAACCCACAAGAACCCATCCCCATCTCCTTTCACAAAATCGCCCCAGCTCCGCTCCCTCTCTACAGCCACGCACCACCAATCACCACCATCCCTTTCTCCCTGTTTCCGTCAGCCGACCAGCGCCACCCCTCTCTACAGTCACCGACCCCTGCCCTTCAATCACCCCCGAACGGCAACCAAAACAAACCCCTCCCTCTCCTGTCCCTGTTCCGAACAGCCACCAAACATCCCTCCGTTTCCTCTACTTCCGAGAAGTCCCAACACCGCTGCGTCGTCATCCGATCGACGCCATCATCCTGTCGCTGCCGTTGAGTCTGATCTGATTCCTTGGATTAGGAGCTTTGCAGCGCAATCTTAGGTTCTATGGTTTTAATCGAGAATCTTTTGGAGTGGCCAGCACTAGTACGAGGATTTTCAGGATTCTTAAGCGTCCTGCGTGAGATGTGGTTGTTTGATCAGACCCGATTCCAATTCAGTTGGATCTGATGTTCAGTCTGGTGATGGTATAATTTCGCTTTCTTATTATTTTCTGTTAATCTCATAATTATGAGTTAGTTGCTTGCGTAATACATCTCTAAATTCTTATCATATATTCACTGTGTAAATTAATATTGTGAGTTGAGAGAACTAAATATGTGACTGTTGAAAAATTGATATTGATCTTAGAACTCGCGACAATGATGATTAATATTGCGATTAAAATATTTGAGATTGGAACTGTTCATGAGTAGTGTTGCAAAATCTTATTAAAATCTATCTATCACATTAACCGTTTTAATTAATTTCCTACCGAAGATCATGAATTTTGGCGAAACGGTGCGTTGTTTAAATTAAATCTCTGATTCAGATAGACACCCCTCCCCGTTTCGCATCATTTTTGGTATCAGAGCATGGTTCTAGGTTAGGAAATTTTTATGCTTAATCGCATTTAGCTATCAGTGCATCCCACTCGTCCCAGTTAATTGTTAGTGCATGCCTAATCGCACAGATCTACCTTAGGTGAGTCAAGTCAATCAGCTAGTGAGTACATCATGTCTTCTGAATTCCTTAAGAAATTCGATGAGGTAAAAAGACAAATAGGTGTCGTAGCCCAGAGCTTAACAAATTTCCAGAATGAAACCAACGAAAGGTTTGCTAGGCTTGAAGGAGCGAGTGTTGCAACTCCGTCGCCACAAAGTCAAGACTATGGATACCCACCACAAGGTCATGGGTACATCGTTCATCGACCCCCACCTCAACCAGTGTCTGATCCACCAACCTTTGACGGTAAGCTCGGCCCACAAACTTTCTTGAATTGGCTGAAGAATATGGATCGATACTTTGATTGGTATGTCATGACGGAGCCACAAAAAGTCAAGTTTGCGGTAATGAAACTCACCGGACCAGCCTGCCAATATTGGTCCAAATTCGAAACATTAAGATATATTAGTGGTGAGTTACCAATTTTAACTTGGCAAGAAATGGCTGACGAACTAAAAAGGGAATACCTTCCACTAGTTAAAATTAATAAGCTGCATATGACAGAATCAAAATCTATTTTTGAGAAAACCGTTAATCAGGCCGTAGATTTGATAGAAATTAACTCTGCGAAGGAATTCCAGGATAGTAAAATTGAAAATCTATGCACTTTCGTTTCTTCTGAAACTACCCTTGCAATTGT